TCCTGTATATACATACATACAAAATTTCTCCTTCGGGAAAGAAATACTTATCCTGACTATATTTTCCTGTATGAACCATATTCCCAATGACCAAATAGTTGGCCAAAGAGAAGTTCTGTCAACACTTTTCTTGAGGTATAATTTGCATAACATACAATTCGTCCATTTAACTGAATGTTTTTATTATAGTTGTGAAGTTGTACAAGCACCAGCACAACCCAAGTCTAGAATGTTTTCTTTATCCCTCGAAGAAGCCCTGGAGCCCTTAGCAGTCCGTCCCCGTTCTCCTCCACCTCCCAGGCCCAGGACCCCACTAAGCTCTTTTCCGTCTCTATCCATTCGCCGGTTCTGAACATTTTATATAAACGGAGAAGAACAATATGTGATCTGTTGTGATTGACTTCTTTCACCTCACGTAATATTTTTGAGGTCCGTCTGTATTACAGCAGGTATCCGCACTTCGTTCCTTTTTATTGCTGAAAATGGGGAAGTTCTTTCTCGAAGAGTGCTAGCTAATAAACACAGAAAGGCTGATAGAAAAGAACTATTTTACAGCCCCAATACAACAGATCAGTGATGTTTAAAATCATGGGGTGTTTGAAACCATTAGATAGAGGAGAAAGGTTGACGGGCCAGTATAAAATGAATGAATTAACCCAGGCTAGATGGTGCATATCTGCAATTCCAGCATCCTGGGAGGCTGAGGCAGGAGGATCGAAAGTTTGAGCCCAGCCTAGGCAAGTTAGTGACTTAGTGAGATGCTGTCTCAAAAACAAACACAAAAAACAGAATGAGACCAATGAACCCCTGAACACACTGATGAAACTTAAATTTCATAAAGCACTACAAATGAGACTACTGCATATTGTATGCTTCTTTTTTTTTTTAAAAAAGAAATAACTGTCATATTTCCCTAAATCTAATTAAGCTGCTAACTTCCTGTTTACAAAAGTCTAACCGCTAGAGGAACAAGTCACACGGCCACTGCAGACATCCAAAATGCATGATGCCGTGTGGGACACGTGACCCAGTTGCCTTGGCAAATAACTGGCATAAAACAGGAGAGGGAGGGGCATGATTAGATGAAGAGGAACATGAATCTGTGTTCTGATGGGAAGAAACCACCAGGGCAAAGGTATTTTTGAGGCAGTTGGAGAGACCTGAACATGATTGGGTTTCAGGTGAGGTTAAGAAATTACTGTAATTTTGTTAAGTGTGATAATGACATTGTGATTATGTTTTAAAGAATGTCCTTATCATTTGAAGAGGCACTGAAGTGTTTACAGGGGAAATGATAGATGTGTGGGATTTTACTGCAGAATACATCCCAGCAAACAAAGTGGGCGTAGGGGGATTTGCTAAAACCAGATTGGCCGTGAGTTGATAACTGTTGAAACTGAATGATAGCTTGAGAAGAGTTTCATATATTTTTTCTCTTTAATAAATGCTTGAAAATTTCCATAATAATTAAAAGAAGAATCCTAGATTCTTAGAGTCAAGAAGCAATTTCATCTAGAAATATAACTTGTTAGAAATATGTACTTTTCTGAGAAAAAGATGCAGAACTGCTGGTTCTTTCTTCAATGCTTGAGATTTATTTTGGTCTTTTTGACTCTGAAGAGTTCTGAGTTTTTCTGCTGAAGACAAAGGGCAGCCTTTTAAAAATATGTTGGCAATGGAAATGCCAGGCATTGAAGAGGACTATGGTCAGATATGAAATACAGCCGGGTGTGGTGGCGCATGCCTGTAATCCCACCACTTGGGAGGCTCAGGCAGGAGGACTGCTGCAAGTTCAAGGCCAGCCTGGGCTACATAGTGAGTTCAAAGCCAGCCTGAACTACATAGTGAGATCCTGTCTAAAAAATAAAATAGAAAAAAAAAATATGCATGAAGAAGCTTGCTTGTAACTATCCTGAAGGGTTTTTTTCTCCCAAGGGCTTTATTTTTCATGAAAATTCCTATAAATCTATATTGTCTTTTTCTAACTTTTTTGAGAGACAGAACACCGCCATGGTTAGGAGTTTGGAATCAGATTATATTCAAATCTCAACTCTGTCGCTTAGGAGCTGAGGTGGTGGAGGGCATGTTTACTTAAACTCTCAGAACCTCAGTTTCTTCAGCTGTGAAATGGAAGTAATTATAGCACCTCTTTCATAGGCTTGTGGTGTGGATTCGATGAGTGTGTTTCCCGTATGATGTGAGGGGTAGAGTTCAAATTATTGTGCGAATGTCTTCGGGAAGCTCGTCGTGTGTGTGTGTGTGTGTGTGTGTGTGTGGGAGAGAGAGAGAGAGAGAGAGAGAGAGAGAGAGAGAGAGAGAGAGAGAGAGAGAGAGAGACAGAGACAGAGAGAGAGAAAACTGAAACCCCTGCATACGACCATATGAGGACAAATGCCTTTCGTCTGACTCCAACTCCGTCTCAAATGAGATGTATAACCTGTTTCAGCACAAGGAATCACTTCTCGGCAGTGAGTTAATTTGTACAAAATTCCTGTGTTTCTGGAGTTGACTACTTAAAGGTGATTCCAAAACATTTGTCTCATTTCTCTTTGGACCCGATTGATCTTCTCAGCCTCCCCCGGGAGAGAGTGAGATGTAAACACCGAGCTTAGGGACCTTTCGATTGACCGAGGCAGGCACCACAGGTGAGTGAGACCCAGCTGTGTGCCCAGGGAGAAGCTGGGTCACACAGGAAGGAGGAGGAAGAGGAGGGCACGAATGGCAAGCTTTGGAGCGATCATTTTTACCTGGGGTCTTGGCCTCCCTGCGTATCTCTGGCAAGTCAGATCACCTCACCCCTTAGAGCTTCAGTTTTCTCATCTACAATAGGGGAATCTCTGCCTTACCAGCTGTGTGGGTTAAAGGAGACCCTGGCCTTGCTTTTAAACTATAAGAGACAATAAAAATGTTAGTATTTTCTAGAAAAAGTAGCGGTCACGTGTGGTAGACTTCTCTTGGCATCCCTAGAGGACATCTCTTGAGACCAAGCTGGGAGTGGCCCAGTGTGCTAGAGCTCTGTAGACTCTCCTGAAGCATGCATCAGGTAGGGAGGGTTTCAAAAGAGTGCTAGCCTGTGATTCTGGTTTATTTCACTTAACATTATGGTCTCAAGGTGCATTCACTTTCCTACAGATGTCTCCAGTTTATCCTTTATGGGAGAGTAGTACCCTGTTTTTTGTTTTTTTTTTCTGGTATTAGGAATTGAACTCAAGACCTCGCCCTTGCCAGGCAAGTGCTGTGCCACTGAGCTAAATCCCCAGCCCCAATGACTTCTGGCATTTGTTTTTGTTTTTTTTCCTCCGGTACTGGGAATCGAACTGGCAACCTTGCTCTTGCCAGGCAGGTGCTGTGCCGCTGAACTAAATCCCTAGTACCCTGTTTTGTATAAAAACACATTTTCTGTATCCATTCGTCTGTAGACGGACACATAGGCTGCTTTAAAGATTTAGCTGTTATGAGTTGTGCTGCTGTAAACGTGGATATGCATGGATCACTGTGATACGATGCCGTAACTGTTTTAGGAAGCTACCTAGATGGAGAACAGCCAGGGTAAATGGAATTTCTAGTTTTAGTTTCTTAGGGAGTCTGCACACTGATTTCCATAGTGGTTGTACTAACCTACATTCCCACCGACAGCATAGAGGATCTTTTCCCCCTGCAACCTTTCCAGCATTTGTATCATCATTTCTTAATGATGGTCACTCTTCCTGAGGTAAGGTGGAATCTCACACTGCACGGTTGCTCTTATAGGAGAAACCCAAGGTATAGGTAGGGAGCAAAATAAAAGATGGATGATAGGAGGCAGAGGGTAGACTGTTCTCAAAGAGGAAAGGGATCGGGAGATGGAGGGAGGGAGAGGGCACAAAAAAGAAGTGGGGATGTATTCTGTACATGTGCCAGCTCTGCACAAGGGTTGTAAACAGTAGATACTGCGCAAGTGTACTAATTAAAAACAGTGACAGCTCGTTAAAAAAAAAAGAGCCCCCCCCTGTGTTCTTGTGCTCCTCCTCCCTGTGTTGCTTCTGGGCCCAGCCAAGAAAGCACGGATGCCACACTGCAGCAGTTCCCAGAGCATCCCGTAAACCTCACTCATCAAGGCGGAGCTGTGAGGGGCCGCACTCTCTGGTGCTTTCACCCAAGTCCCATGGATGCCCAAGCCATGCCAGCCAGGAGTCCAGGCACTGGGGAGACTTGCTAAACAAACTCCACATGGAGTTTATTGCTCTGGGGAGGGGTCTGGTGGGCCTGCCCTGTATCTAGTCCAGCCCTGTCTAGACCTTTGTTGTAGGTCTGCACCATGTAATCTCGTAGCTCTGTGTCACGTGGGAGTATTGGGCTGTTGAAAGGTGGTGTGGGTGGATGAGGAACTGAATTTTAAATTCTATTTACATTTAATGACTTTACACTTGAATAGTTAAATGGGGAAAGTGGCCACCATATTGCACAATCTCAGACAGCACTGGGCATGTCCTGGGAAGGTGGGAAGGGGACCCTTCAGGCCAGTCATTTGACTTCCCTTCCTTAAGAAAGAGCTGTGAGACTTATCCTACCTCTATCACTCACTGTGTGTAGGTTTATTATGCCATGTGGCCTCCCCTCTGGTTAGTTTCCTAATCTGTGAAACAGGGACAGAGGGAGGGCTACATTAAATTCTTCTCACTGCTAAATTCTTGGCTCCATTGTGATTTGTCTTTTGTTTATACATTATATTATTGTGGTGGATTGACAACTGGTGGTCAGCTTATAACCCCAGCTGAACAGAATCAGCATGGTTCTGAGTGTGGGAGGCCCACCTGAGGATTGTTGCCAGCAGCATAAGAGGCAGACCTGGAGAAGAAGAAGAGAGGCTGTTGGGGGCTGAGAGGGGCTGTTGGGGGCTGAGAGGGGCTGTTGGGAGCTGGTAGAAGCTGTTGGATGCTGTTAGAAGCTGTAAGAAGCTATTGATTCTGCTGGAGGAGCTTTTCATGCTGGCTTTCCTGATGAACTCGGCTGTTCCCATCATTGGAGGAGCTGGGGACCTTGTTGTTGCTGAGAATGGCTTCAGTTCACTTTGGGGGAGCTCTGATCCTCACTTTGAGTATCGCTTCCTGGATCCAGAGGGGGAGATGGTGCATTGCTTAGTCTCCTGGAGAAGCTTGTCATGTTGGCTTTCCTGATGGAAACTTGGCTTTCCTTGTCATCAGAGAAGCTTGGGACCTCACCTCACTGTTGCTGAGGATGGCTGTGGTACTTTTGGGGGAGCTCTGGTTCTTACTTTGAGCGTTGCTTCCTGGCTCCAGTGCAGATCTCTCAGCCTGCTAGCACAGGTCCTTCATCCTGCTGGCACAGACTTTCTAACTTCCACCTCTGACCTTTGGGCCTTCCCAGCACAGATCCATGAAATAGGCCTGCATGAGACATTGTCATGGGCCCTAGACCTCCAGTTGGATTTGTGGGAGGCATTGTTATGGGCTCTAGGTCTTCAGCTGGACTCATGCAGGACATTATCATGGGATCCACGCCCTCAGCTCAATTCTTTGGATGTTAGTGTGTGGACAGATTTCCTGCACTCTCTTGTATATGATTCTTTGGGTGACTATTATAAATAATCCTATAAAATATGTGTCCTGTATATTATTCCCCTTGCAAAACCCTAAACACAATTATTTTCTGGTACAACCAATGTACCAGGTTACCACAAATGTGCTTGGCCAAAACAAAAAACGAAACAAAGCAGACCTTCACTCTTCAGTTCTGGAGGCCAGAGGTCTGAAAATGATTTTAATGGGCTGATCCACAGTGTCAGCTGAGTTGTACTTCCACTAGAGGCTCCAGGGAAGAATCCATCCCTTGCCTCCTAGAAGGTGGTCACAATCAACAGCTTCCGGTGGCTGCTGTTGTCCTTGGCTTGTGGCGCATCTCTCTGACTGCTGCCTCTGCGGTCACATGGCATTCTCCTTTTCCACGGTTAATCTCCCTCTACGTCTGTCTTATAAGTTCACTTATAATGGCATTTAGGGCCCTGCAGATAACCCAGGATAATCCCTCCTCCCTAAGATCTTTAATTTAGTTGTAGCCACAAAGATCCATGTTTCTTATCAGGTAACACATACAGGTTCCTGGGACTAGGACCTGATATCTCTGGGAGTTGTTATTCAGCCCACTACACCTACGTAGTAAAGCTTAGTAGTAGTGGATTTGCTTTGGGTCAAATACTGTGGCTATTCCTTTGGGTATGTGACAGTTGCTGCCTGCCCACCAGATTTCCAAGGGAGGATTTTCTCAGCATTCTGAATGAAGATCTGAGTTTGATTAGAAAAACAAAAAAGTGAAACTACTTCCTGCCTACTTCCTACTGTGAAGTACCTTGATTTATCTAATGTCACATCATCTTCACTAAAGGGTTAACCCATTAATGTTTGGGTTATTCCCCCAAAATGTGTGGGAGGGAACCTCCGTGGGGATTCAAGTCAGGAAAACCCAAATGATACTGTCTGAGCTCGAGAGGCAGGAACGCGTGCCGGATGGGCTGGGTCAGTGGTCTCTGTATGTGCAGCTGCATACGCATACATTGGAAAGAAGGATCAAGCCCGACATGGCCAAGGAACAGCTCGCCGCTCTGATTTGGATGTTTGGATATCATGTTTCACCGTTGCTTAATCAAATCTAAGAGCAATGGTTAGGAAGTGGGTTTTGTAAATATTGCTCTGAAACACATTTTCAACAGAAAGCAGATGCCAAGTGTTTTATTATGTCAGTATTTGAAGTTATTGGAATAAAACCTGAAGCCAGTCCTTGGTCAAGCAAAACACCTGTGAAGGCCTGGGGTTCAGGGAGGGCATGCCGTTTTGGGGGTGGGGTGGGATGTGTTTATAAAGTCTGACGGGGAAGAAGCTGGCTGGAAGACCTTCATTTTTGAAAAATAAAAAAGGCCTGAAAATAAAATATTTATCATCATAGGGACAGAGAAGCACAATTATAATTTAAAGTGTGAGTCACAACATTGCCTTGTTCAGCCAGGGAACAAAATGACTTAGAGGCAGAATAAAATTACTTCATTTGTGTCTCCCAAGAACGTGGCGTTCTCCGGGTCTGCTGGCGTCCTTGGTTAAATGGCAAAGCAGCTCTCCTGTTCCCGCGGTGGTCAGCAGCTTCGTGACTATGTACTTGCCTGGGCTGCTTTTCAAACAATTAATAATGTGATAATAATAAAGGTTTACTGAGCACCGAGCAGTGTTTTGTGCTTTCTTTGCTGTATCTCATTTAATCCTCCTGTTACCTCTTAGGATAGCTATCATTACCCTCATTCGATAGATGGGAAGCCAAGACCTAGAGAAGTCTGACCACTCCAAGTCACTCGGCTGCTAGGAGTGGGACCGAGGTGTGGCCACATTACCCTGCACTGCGGAGCCCGGCTCTTGGTCACTTGTCCTCCCCTCTGGTCAGATGGGCTTGGGGCTAACTCTTGCATCCTCTTGAAAGCCCATGTCACCTGGTGCCCTGTGTTCAGTGGTGGTCACTGTCAACAGAGAGCCTCGGGGCGCACAGGTCTGGGTTGCCTCCCGGCGTCTGAGGGTGGATGTGTCTCTCAACCCCTCTCTGCCTCTCTCTGTGCAATGAGACAGCATCCGATAGCTTCCCAGGAAGAGAGGACAAAATACTCTCCCTTCATCTACGGAAACTTCCCCTCTCTTCCCCAGAGGAGGTCTTTTTTCCCTCCAGCTTCCTAGTCTGCTTTTTCCTGATGAGTGAATATCTGGTTTTCAGAGCATGCTTGCAGCAAGCATTTGCATTCTGAGCTGGTGCCTGGGATCTGTGTCTACCTGCATATTTTCCCTCAGCAGTGTATCGGCCCCACACTGCCAGGGCCTGGTCTGCTGCTGGGGCCACACTGGTGCACACCGTGGGCCTCCCCTGGCCTCCCAGAGTGACAGCGTGTCCAAGCAGGGCGCTGCTGGCTTTTCAGGCCAGCCAGTTGCTGTCCTGTATGCTAGAGGCAGCTTAGCATCCCTGGCCTTGCCCCACTAAGATCCAAACAAGGGAGACCACTGGAAATGTCACCATGTGCTTCCATGTGCCTCCAGGTGGCACTACGGCCCCTGACTGAGGACCACTGCGGAAGATTTGTCACCGTGAAGTTTGGATGGAGTCCCCTCTGATTCTGTCTTGGGTGAAGTGCATTCTTGTCTTTTTTCCTAGAATCTGGCCCATGCTTTGGATGGGAGAAGCAGGAATTTGAAAACAGCAGGGAGAAAATCAAATCTGTCCATCCGGGCCCAGTGCTGAGAAGTTGGTGCGTTTAGACGCCCCCTGAGGGGCTGCCTCCCTTCATTTCTTCTTTCCTTCCCCTTGCCCAGGTCTCTGCACCTCTTCCTGTCCCCTCAGCTCCGTCAAAGCGGAAACCGATACATCTGAATAGCCAAGAGCCCGAGGGTGAGGAGGACCCTGATCTGGAAGGAGCGTGGAGGGGTGAGCGGCCCAGGCACCCGGGGAGCGGGGAGCGGGAGGGAGCAAAGCTGCTCGAGTCCTGCTGTCTAGGAGGCAGAGAGAGCAGGGAGCTGCTGGCCAGGGGGAAGGGGGTGGGCTAAGCCCTTCCACTCACTTGCGGTGACCCCCGCCTCTTCCAGCCCCTCAGCAGCAGGTCAGCTCTAAGCCCTCACGATTCAGTCACCTTCCAAAAGCCTGCCCATAAGTAAACGTAGGAGGTCTTCGGGGACATCCGCCATCCAGACCGTAATACCTTCCCTGGCTTCTCCCTTTGTGGTCCTGGGGGTTGAATCCTCGGTGCGCTCCCACTGAGCCACATCCCCCATCCTTCTACGTTTTTATTGTGGGACAGGGTCTCACTAAGTTGCCCAGGCTGTCCTTGACCTGAGACACCACAAGAAAGAGGCTGGGCTTTGAAGATACCAAAGTATAGCACAACAACTCTTGATAATCTCCTACCTCTTTTGTCTCTAACTCACTATTATTTGTCTATTTGTTTTCCTGAGAAACTATTTTGTAGATAATAATATGTAAAATGATAACCATTGATAATTTCCTACCATTTTGTCTGTAATTTGCTAAGTCCCCCCTATTATTATGTTATCCTTCTTTTATTCTTTAAAATAAAAAAAAAATAAAAAGAAATAAAAAAAAAAAAAAGAAAGAAAGAGGCTGGGACGCTGCTCTCCTGGAACACATGGCGGACCCGTGCTTCCCTCAGGGAGCACGACGGTACGCAGCGCTGACTAGGGCCTGGGGTGAATGCGTCAGTGCAACCCGTGCCTAAGTGGAGTTGGGAGGCTCGAAAGAACCACAGATGATTTAAATAAGATTCACAAGATTAACCATTTTATTTTTTCAGATTAACAGGTTTTAAAGTTGGACTACGCATACGCCAGCAGGGATATGGAAGAGCAGAATTCTTATACATGGGTGGCGGAGATTTAAACTGGTACAGCCTCCATCGAGGACCACACAAGCTGAAGATATACAAACCTTTGTGTGATAGTGCCACTTCTATTTACATGTCTAGAAGCAGCTCTCACACACGTGCAGGTCTGATGTTGAGAATGTCCACAACAGATCTCCCTCCCTCCCTCCCTTCCTTTTTTCCTTCCTCTCTCCCTCTCTCCTTCCCTCCTTCTCTCTCTCTCTCTCTTTTTCTTTCTTTCGAGACAGGGTCTCAGTTAGTAGTACAGGCCGACTTTGAACTCACTTATGTAGCCAAGGCTGGTCTTGAACTCACTGCAATCCTCCTGCCTCAGCCTCCTGAGTGCTGGGATTACAAGCGTGCACTACCACGTCTAGCTCAGATTTCTTGGTAGAATTTAAAAAATAAATGAAAATGCTCAAGAACAGGAGACTGAATAAAGACATTGTGGTCCATGTGTACACTGCAATACATCAGTGAAAATGTGTGAACAGGAACTTCAAATATCCCTGTGGATGTAGCTTACAAATATGATAATGAATCATGAAAATAAGTTGCAGAATAGTATCCACAGTATGGTCCCATCTATCTTAAGTTTAAAAATATACAAAATAATGAGCACGTTGCTTAGGTATACAAACATATATTTTAAAAATAAAATGAGGGCTGGGGATGTAGCTCAGGGGCATAAGCACCTGCCTGGCAAGTGCAAGATCCTGAGTTTGATTCCTGGTACCCAAAAAATAAAATAAAATAAAATAAAATAAAATAAAATGAAACACAAAGGAGTGACAAAGCTAAAATTCAAGCGAAGGGAAGAAGAGGTATAATTGTCAGGGAGATGCAGGGCTCTTCATCAAGGGCTGTACGTATTGATATTTTAAGGTAAATGGGTGGGATGGGGCACAATGATCCTATTGTATTGTCATTTAGATGCAGTACCTACCCGTCACCTACCATCCTCTTTGTCCTTCATGGGAGGACCTCCGTTTCCTTGTCCCTTTGTGGGTCTCAGGGAAGCTGAGCACTCTCAGGTTGAAGGTGTGGTACACAATTGTTTTAAGGAGGACCCAGAAGACTTAAAAAGTGCCTGGTGTTCCCTACAACACCCTGACTCTGAAGCCCACCCCACTTTTGCTCTTCCAGAATGTGAGACAGTAAGTGTTCTCGGGGCTCCAGCGACTTTGGTTTAGGGTGTTCCAGTACCTTGCAGCTGAAAGCATTCTGCTATACCATGTAGGTTGCTACGGAAGCATACAGGAATAACTTACTAGGCAGGAAAATTAAGTGTTTCCTAATTCTCTCCTTTTAAACATTTTCTCCCATTTTTACTTAAACATTCGTACCTCCTCTGTATTAGTTTTCTAAGCAGAAGAAACACAAGGATGTATACTTTCCAAAGAGGTTTAATTAGCTCACAGTTTTGGTGGCAGAAAGTCCCAAATCTGCTACTCTCAGGTGATCAGCCCGTGGTGGTGGTGCCCTTGTGTGCCGCACACGTGGAGATGACGTCATGTGAGAGCGCATGCGGGAGGAGAGACCTGACAGCAGGACAGGAAGCCAGGGGAGGCGGGGCTGGGCTTGCTCTGTTATAACGAGTAGCTCTCTTGAGTACTAGCTCTCTCCACAAGAGGAGTACTAATCCCTTCTGAGAGCAATGCCCTCTATGAGCTAACCACTTCCCCCTCGGCAGCCTCACCCTCAACTTTTTTTTTTTTTTGGTACTGGGGATTAACTTGGGGTCTTAGCACTGAGCTACATCCCCAGCTCTTTTTTTTTTTTTTTTAAATTTTTGAGTCAGGGTCTCACTAAGTAACTAAATTGTCCAGATTGGTCTTGAACTTGTGATCCTTCTGCCTCTCTGCCTCCTAGAATTCTGGGTTATCAGGGGTGCACATCATTCCCTGCTTAGGCCTTATCTCTTACAGAATCTACTGTCTCTTAATACCACCAAATTAGGGACTAGTCCTCCAGCCTCTGAGCCTTTTGGGGACAAAACACATCCAAATAACAGTGTAGTCTGATGGCTGGCTTCAAGGTGTAGCAAAGGGGAACTCAACGGAAATCAAATGGTAAAGGAGAAGATCATGAGGAGTCCAGTGCGGCTAGTATGCCAGCCTGTCCTTTTCTGGGAACATGTGTATTAGTTTCCTTTGTATTAATCAGTGTCTGCTGTAATAAATTACCACAAGGGAAGTAGCTTAAAACAAGAGTGTTTGTTCTCCACAGTTACAGAGGACAGAAGTCTGACGTCCAGGAGCTGGGAGGGCGGTGCTCTTCCGTGGGCTCTGGGCAGGGTGGGGGTCCTTCCTTGGTTCTTCCGCCTTCTGGTGGCTGTTGGGATCACTCCAGTCTCTGCTTCCATTGTCACATGTTCTTGTCCGTGTTTTCCTGTGTCTCTCTTCTTCTGTCTCTCACATGGACATCTGTGAGCACATGGGGCCACGTGGGTAATCCAGGATGATCCATCTCAAGATCTTGAATTACATTGTTCAACGACTGGTTTCCCGAATAAGGTCATATTCACAGGTTCTGGGGATTTGGAAGTAGACACTTTTTTTTGCGGATACCACCAATTCAACCAACTGTAACATAACTAACTCTAACATAATATAGTGATTTTAGTAGTGCAAACTAGCTGGGTGTAGTGTGCACGCCTGTAATCCCAGCACTCGGGAGGCTGAGGCAGGAGGATCATGATGAGTTTGAGGCCAGCCTGGGCTACATAAGTGAGTTCAAGGCCAGCCTGCACTACACAGTGAAACCCTGTCTCAAAAACAAAAAAACAACAAAAAACAAAAGTAAAAAAGTGCAAACTGATAATATGGTTTTATTTTCAACCTAAAAAAGTAGTTCCCACTTGATAAAAATGGAAGTATCAGTATTCACTAGTACTTTATGGAAAGCATTAAGTTTTTTTATTTTTTGAGGCACTGGCCGTTGAACCCAGGGCCTTGCTGATGTGACGTAAGCTACATGTGAGGCCACTGAGCTACATCCCCAGGTCTTGTTTTATTTTGAGCCAGCATTTTATTATGTTATTCAGGATGGTCTTGAGGAAGTTACAGCTCTCCTGCCTCAGCCTCCCAAGTATCTAGGATTACAGGTGTTTGCTATAGTGCCCAGCTGCTTTGGCTTCTCTTACCCAAGTTATATAGCTGCTTAGTTAACATTTGAGAGCAAAAAAATTTTTTTTGGTCTTTTTGAGAGAGGATTTCACTATGTAGTTCAGGCTGGCCTTGAACTCACTTTGTAGCCCAGGCTGGCCTTGTGGTGATACTTCTGCCTCAGCCTCTGCAGTGCTGGGATTGCAGATGTGCACTACCATGCCTGGCTGAGAGAAGGCTTTTGAAAAAAAAAAATTAACAGAGAAAATAATGTTGTGTGATGTGAAGTTTGGAAATTGAATCCTATAAAATCAGAGGTGCTTCAAACACACTGGACTTTCCAGGGATCATTGCAACAGATCATAAAACTGAATATATACAAGTTCAAGATGATTAGCCAGTAGTTTGTACTGTGGAATCAATATGCCTTAGGAGAAGATAAAAAAAAAATACAGCGGTGTACCCAGTAGGATTCTACTACTATGCTTTAGCCACAAGACCTAGTTTCTAATCTAGAGGTGCTGGACATACAAGGAAGCAGAAACGTGATCATTAGTCACGGAAAAAGCAGACAGCAGAAAGTAAGCCCAAGATGTCACAGACATTGAAGTTGGAAAATGAAAGCATTAAAGCAGCTGTTCTAGTCAAAGAATTAAAGGAATAAACAGGCAATTTTAGCAAAGAAATAGAGACTACAAGAAAGAGCTAATGCAAACTCCAGAAGTCAAAAGTGAAGAATGAAGTGGTAACAGCTTGAGGTGTTTAACAGTAGCTCTGAGATGGCAGAAGACAGAGTCAGGGAACTGGATGGCAAAACAGTCAAAGTTATTCAGCCTGAAGAACTGAGGGATAAAATATTTTTTTAAAAATGAACAGAACCTCAGGAACATGTGTGAAAACAGCAAATATTCTTACATGTGTAAGTAGAATGCCAGAAGGAGAAGAAAGTGAAAAATCAAAAGTCTTGATAGCAGCTGGAGCAAAAGGATATATTACATTCTGGAGAAGAAGTAGGATCCCCCTTCCCTGCTTATCTCTCTCCCTCCTCCCTTTTCTCCCTCTTTCTTTTCTTCTTTCCTTCTCTCTTTCTCTCCTCTTCCTTTCTTCCTTTCTTCTTTCCTTCCTTTCCCTCTCCCCTTTTTTTCTCCCTCTCTCCCTCCCTCCTTTTCTTTCTCCCTTCCTCCCTCCTTCCCTTCTCTCTCTCTTTCTCTCTTTCTGTCTCTCTTTCAGGCAAAATACCACTGTAACAAAGGTTTACACTGTATATAGAAGTAAGTGATATGACAGTGATTGCATGAAAAATAAAGGAGAGTTGATACATAGGATTATATAGTTGTGTGTGTGTGAAGTGGAAAATCATACAGCAATAATTAAAAAATAATAGTTTTTGATAAGTTAAAGTTCATGTTGTTAGTTCTAGATAAATTACTAAATAAGTTAGTAGTTATTTAATGACAGCTCCAAAGAGTTATAGGTAAGAAGCTAATAGAGAAGATAAAATAGAATACTTAAAAATTACAGTTAACCCAAAAGAACTCAGGTAAAGAGAGCAAAGTAAACAGAAGAATCAGATGGAAAACAGATATTAAATCGTTATACTTAAACCCATCCATATTGGTAATTACATTAAATGTAAATGGACTAAGTACACTAAAAGGAAGAGATTGTTGTAAGACCCAACTATTTGCTGTGTACTTGAGATATATTTAAAATATTAAAACATATAGCTTGACACTAAAAAGGTAATGAAAAAAGGTAAGCATAATATATTCCAAAATAAAAAGTCCTTGAACCCTAATGGAAAGCTAAATAGTTTAAGAAAGAAAGAAAAATTTAAAATGCCTTAAGAATTATGCCAAGAGAGACTAATAATTTGATCCATAAGACAAAATCAAGAAGCTATGAGAAGTGGAAATAGGAAAATAAGAAAGAGCTTTTGGAAATTATATGTTATGTTTGAAATTAGAAATTCAATCAAATCCTTGGAAGATAAATTACAGGCACTCTGAGAAAGAAGAATACAAAGATAAACAGTGAAACATCATGAGGGAAAAACAGATGGGACTTCAAGAAGTAATCTAGAAGGCCTAACACCTTACCAATATGAGGTGCAGA